GAGCCAACATGGCTATTCCTTGCAACATGCATGTTGGGAAGTGGAAAACAAATTTTAGTTTTATGAGAAGAGGGTTATGCATAGTATCAACCTTCCTGCTTGCACACACACCAGAAACACTTAGCATATCCCATCAGGAAACAGGAACATCTGATCACTCATCCCAGGCTGCATTCATAAAACCTTTTTTCTAAATATTGAAAGAATTAAAAATCTACAGATCCCTAAAGTAGTCAACGTATAATCCTGGACACTGTGCACTTTAGAAATAAATCAAGTCCTGAACGTTATAATTCCAATAGCAGAAAAAGTTAACACATTAATAAAATTATTTGCTTTACTTTTTTTTTATACACATATTAAGGAAAAACATGAGCCTACCCACCACCTGAAAAAGATTACTGTGCTCAGCTCTCTGAGCAGCACTGGATCTGTACTGCAGGTACATACAATGTATCTAAGTAGTTCTATAACAAGGAAAGGCCAGAAATTGAGAGACCTTACAGAAAACAAAGCCTCAGAATACGTGTGTGCTATCACAAAGCAGTGTCATATCACACGCATGTTATCACAAAGCAATAAGCACTGCTTTTTTACATTAAGCACAGCAATGTTCTATGTCAGAACTAATGTTTTCCTTAATACTGATTTTATTAAGCATGAGAAAATAAAACAAACAGCAATCTTGTGTATTCAATACAACTCTGAATGAAGCTTGTGCAACATTTCAGCAGATATTTATTGCAGATACAGAGAAGCTCTGCTAGATTTGTGATTGGCTGCAGCTACCATTCACTAGGACTGAAACATACGTTTCAATGAGAAACTGGCAAAGAATAAATACTTGTAAGAGACGGAAAAGGCAAGGACTCCAAATTGACTGAACACATAACCTGCTTTTCCATTAGGTGCATTTAAATTACATTTTGCAGATGTTTTTCTGAATCTTTTGCCATAGCATGTGAAATTCATTTTTGAAGGGAGGGAACACAAGAGAAGCTTTTCTACATTTACATGTTAAAGAACGTTTGCTGGCCTAGGCATAGTAAAATGTGTTCTGCTGCTTGAGGGAGGCACTTTCCAGGGATACTACGCATCAGTTTCCAGGTCTGAGCAACTCAGAAGCAGCAGCATTCCCCTGGACTGGGTATGCGCATACCCAAACTAGTCCTCTGTGTTAAATACATTAAGAGTCTCAACATAAGATGTATTGCTGTTCTTCTTCCACCAAACTGGAAGTGGAAGCTAAAAATGCCACTTTTCACTGGCGCTGTAAAGTTCTAAATATCGGAGAAATCTTGTAAAAAGTTACATTACAGCAACAAATGGATTACAAGAAAAAAAAGAAACTTCTTATTCCATTACCTATTTTAAGCAATGCTTTGATTTATTGTGAAAGGGACAGCCGAACAAGATAAATATGTAGATCTTCACTTGAGATGTAGGCAGCAGAGACCTTCCGGTGCATTTTGTGGAGTATTTTTTGGTTTAAGGAGTTCAAAGAATACTTTCCTCTTCAAAGTCAAATTTCACCACCACCGGCCGGGTCATATTCCACTTCTTATTTCGATTCCTATCCGCGATGAACTCCTGGTAAGGATCTTGCTTTGAAATAGCTTTCTTCGAGCGTACATAACCAAAAAAGACAGTTAATGCCAAGAAAGAGTAAAACAACATGACAAAGAGGATGAAGAAATAGGCGTTGTCGTATGGTTTGTATTGTGGCTCTTTTTGTTCTGTAGCATTTTTCCTTGTGTCCAGGTTCCTTTCCAGAAGTTGCAGAACACATTGCGAGATGAGAGAAGCTAAAGCTGTTTGGTTCATGTTGGGGAAGTAAAAAGCATGTCAGAAAACACGGAAGGGAGCGAGCATCTAGAGGCCCCAAGCAATGCTTCATTGAAGTAGGAGTCTATCCACAAGCTTTAACAGGAGTTGGATCTGGCCTGTAATCATTTCCTCTTTTGGTAAGGAATGCTGTTAAGTACTTATTGGGTCTCAGTCATTTGATAATGAGGAATTCGGCTGATAAGCCTGCCTTGCCTGTGAAGTGATGTCTATTAATAATAACGATAATGGAGCAATAACAAACCCCTGAAACATACATCTACCAGGCAGTTTTAAATGTGAGATTTCTTCCCCTATATTCGGGGAACAAATCCATTCAGGCCACCAAGAGAGAGGATTTTAAAAACAACATTGGGATACAATAGGGGTGCAAGGGCAGGAGAAGAAAAAGAAAGAAAAGAAAGAAAAAAAGTTAAAAATATCACACCCCTGGAGGAAGGTGCTTAAGTCCATCTCAGAGTTGAAACATTCAAACAATCTCACACATTTTCTAAGCAACTCTAAATGCCATTCTCAGGTGCTTTCTTTCAGCATCACTGCTGGCAGGCTTTGCAAGAGGATGTTCCAGAATCTGATGCCTTTCTACACAGTCCCTAGAGAAAGGCCACCAAAATACACTGCCTGTAGAGCAAACCAGCATTCAAGATAAGAAAGGGTTGTTGGATACTAATATGGCATTTCAGTCAGTAGCTAACTATAACTTTAAAATGAAAATTTGAATTTCAAATCAAGTATGACAGCCTCAGAGCTTAAATGAGAAGTTGAATGGGTTTTTTAAGTGTCTGTGTAAGTATTAGGACTGGTGGTGTGTAGCTGTGTGATGCCGCAAACATGTACAGCACTGAAAATATGCAATAAAGTAATATCCAAAACGAAAAGAACTCTTGATACAGTAGTTCTGGAAAATGAAACCTTTGACTGCCACCAACAAGTGGACTACACTGAATATTTTCAGACAAGGAGCAAGGGGGTTAAGTCCTCTCCAGTGTGTTTTGTCACAGGTCATGTCTACTTGCACAATAATAGCAGAGCCGTGCTCTGTGGATTCCTGCTTCCTATTGTGTTTTACAGGCTAGGTCACTCTAAAGTAAATTGTTGTTTTACAAAGTAGTGAAACCTTATCTTCCTACAAAAAAAAAAAAAAAATAAAGAGTCCTTACTGCCACAAACGACAATGCCAGCTGTTTCTTTCTGTGATCTGAATTCTAGGGAGTAAGCACCATGACTTTGAAGTGGAGAGCACATCACCCAACTAGCACTTTGCCAACTCTGCACTGTTTCTTTAGGCCTGACCCCCTGAACTGATTGTATGATGACTAATTCACATGCTAAGATTGCAGTATATCGGTATCACTAAACAGCCTGCATTTGTCATTAAGGGTTTCTTGTAAAAAGAAAGATGAAAGTGAAGTCTGTAATTTTATATGAGCAGCAGACTATGGTATAAGTACCTTTAGAATATGCAACTTCTAGAAGAAATGTTCAGCTCCACATTTTAACTATTTGTTTTTAAATCAGCCTTTCAAAACAGAAAAAAAAAAAAAAAAGATGAAAAATTCCCATAAAGAGCAATGCCAAATCCTGTGCTTGACTGGGGGCAAGTTATGGGAGGGATCTCTTTCACCTATTCTTACCCGTAAAGGATAACAGATATGGGACATAACCTTGTTCTGAGGAGCTTTATCATCAGTTTAACTACAAATAAAATACATTCATTAAACCGGTATAAAATCTTCAGGAGAATTATGCCCAATTTATATTCATGTAACTGGAAGAGAATTTTCATTTAGGTTTTGCAACTTTTCCAGAACTCTGTAAACTCTTACTGTTTGTTTGTTTTTTAAAGAATTTGCTTCAGTAAAAGGAGCATGCAATTCTACATAAATTAAATTGGACACGTGCTAATCCCTGTAAATTTTTTGCTCGCTTGAGAAACACATGACCTTTGATGGCCAAGTTTCTGGGGCTCTTTGGTATTAGTAAAATGTATTTTAAAAGGGGGTGTAGGACACCACCACAACTGAACAGAGAAGTGACAAAAACCACAGCAGTGAATTCACAGCAACAGTTTTAGATACACCATGAAGTGAGTAGTGCTGTGCCTATACTACAGCATGCCTCAATGCAGATCTGCTGCACCCTGCTTCTTGAGGTGTATAGTAATTATTTCTCCAAGTGGTTTAATTCACATTATGCTATGTAGTGAACTGACAGCCTCACACATCTTAGAAGTTTTTTAATGCTTCTTAATGAAAGGCACACAAAGACTTATACTTTTCCCATCTTTCAGACAGTCAGATCCATCAGCCTAAGCCTGAAAGTTAAATTACTGTGTTAACACTGAGCCACACTTATCAATACATGGGCTTCTTCCTACAAGTAGCTTGCAAACTCAGAATCCAGGCAAAATAAACTCAGCTCTACGTCTTCCTTTCTAGACATGCCATAAGGTATTGAGGTGCCCCTATAGTACCGGATACTCTAGACCAGAATAAACCACCTTTAACATAATTGATACTACATTTCACAGGTTTCCCCATGACTAGTCACATCACCTGAGAAAAGATGATGCACAAAGGAAGACTTGTAGCCTGAACACTGCCCACTGTAGGAAAGATTTAAAGGCTTTGCAAAAAAGCTACTTGTACAAAACTACTTGTACAAAAAAACTACAAAAGAAGGAATGCACATACCATAGCAATCTCTTCTGCCTTCCAACTCAAATGGCTAAAATGGGCTTCCAGGCATGCTTCTGAGTAAGTGGTGGGGTCTCAGCTGTACTCTGATCAGCCTTAGGAAGCTTTATGCCTTCCAGCCATAGCATAGCTTATTCCCTTCTGCTTCCAAGGAGCTGGGAGAGAACTGCTTGATAACAACCCGTAGAGCTCACCTATACTGCCCTGCTTTACACTTCCTGAAATGCTTGTGCCCAAACACACCAGCATCAGGAGTTAGATAAGACCCAACCCCAATTAAAGCAAATTAAAGGGAGATGCTCATTCAGCTTTCTGTTCCTCTAATGTAATCTGTCTTTATTGTGGTTTAGGGTGTTTCTGTGCACTGTTTCTGCATCTAGTTGAACAGATCAATGCTCTGTTGAGCTACATAAACAAACACTTCTTTAAAGCTGCTTTTTCTCTCCTTTTATTCCCCCTCCCCCAAACAGCTAAAAGTATATAATGGTGCTTTGAACAGGATCCTAAAGAGCTATTTCCATAAAGTGGTCCAATTCTTTTTAGAGATGTAAGTACATGAAATTCTTCAAATGTGGGGGGACAATGAGTGAAGATTAAAAAGAAAGTAAAAGATTAAAAGGAAAAGACCATAAGAAAATCTCAAAGGGGGGGGGGAAAGATCAAAAAGAGGATTAACCATGTTACTTGTTGTTTTTCAGAAATTAAAGAAGTATGGAGGATAAGGAATTTGTTTCCTTTTGGCTCTAGAAAAATGCCAATTATGGTAGCTAAATTGCCATGATCACATATCAGTATGCTTTGGAAATGTGAGAAATGGATGGGAAATATAAACACAGGGCAATAGCTTACAGTTATGTTATGAATTAAGCCACAAAAATATCAAGATTTAGTCACTGAATAAGCTGCCAAAGTTAATCTTTCCTGATGAACTTGAGCAGAATCAGAATAGAAGCAACAGAACTGCAGTTTCACAGGTCAAAATTGCCTTGTTCACTCATCTTTTCTATCTCCAGGTCCAAAACCACCTAAAAACGCCACTAAAAATCAAAGGAAATTGCCTTGGTGCACAGGGCATAGATAAAGTTCCTTATTTACTGTGGGTATTCATTTTTGTAGGTTTTTTAAGGATAAAAAGGTTAACTCTTCTGAGATGCTTTTTGGCAAGAGAGATTACGACACTATCCACACTTGCTCAGTTTTTGCTTTCCTTTAAATTTTTAGGACGTAATAGCCAAGCAACTTTTTGGTGAGTGGAGAAACAGCTCCCTTCCAGGTCTTTTAAACACATGGTATTTATTTAGCCTTTTAGGGATAAGGATGACAAAAGGAGGCAGGCAGAGATTTCTGCCACAAGCTTGATGAGCACCTAAACCCCATACGTGATTTACCAAGATCTGTAGGGTAATTTTTACCCAAACTATTTTTACTGAGGCTGAGGGGCTGTTTTTGGTGTGCCCAGCTCTCACTGAGATGGGGCAGGCTAGTCCTGCACCCTGCCACCATCACTGAGGACAGCCATCTGGCCTGGGACGACCTGGCCACCAGCAGAGCCGACAGAAACTTCATGCTTGAGACTCCATTGGGCTCTCAGCACCAGCATGTGTGTCTGAATTGAGATAGGAGCCAACCAAATGCTGAAAACAAAGCCAGCCCAAAGCAAAGGCTCACAGGAATGGTCTATTTTGAACCTCACGAGCTGTTATCCAGCAAATTCCCAGAAGTCAGTCACTAGTGACCCTGATCCCAGCCACACCATGTTGCTGCTCGCACACAGATCACCAGGGACCTAACGTAGCTCCTCCACGTCCCACAGTGGCACCTGCAAAGGGAGCGGGATCTAATTTCACGCAGTGCCTCATGTGCCGGGAGCAGAGTCCAGAAATGGCACAGGCTGTTCCCATCCATTGCCAGAGGGCAGACTGGGCTCTGTCCAAAGGCACCCACCTCTGCCATCGGCAGGAACAACTCTGCCCTGGCTGCTTCCCTCAGCCACCTCTCACAGACCCACACGCTCAAGGAAAACACACTTCTAGAAGCACTGAGAGACCACAGCAGCTTCTTTCCTCCCCGGTGACCATGCACCTTCCCTGGGACAGTAGCACCCATGTAGAAAACTGTATGTGGGCTTCATCTTCAGGATAAACCACCCCTTAGGTTTCTCAGTGGATTCCCAGCACGGTTCCTGCTGCCTCCCCTCCCCACCCACAGGGAATGCTGTGCTGTTTCCATTGCACATGGCAGTCAGACGCCCCAGCATCGGAGCGACAAGATGGCTGACCCATCAGCCCCCACGTACCATAGGGCCTCGTCCCAGTGCTTCTCCTGGCCAAGCGCTGTCCTCATGTCTGCTCACCCCTTTGATCATCCTGCCCCAGTGAGACAGGAACTCTCTCCAGCAGTGGCTGTTCGCTCTGCTCAGGACTGCCTGCCTCCACAGCTGATGGGTGTCCTGTCTTGGCTGCTTCCCACAGGATGGGTGCCCCACAGTGTTCCCCCACCATCCCTGCCCTAGGCCCACCATGGCTACGCTAAACCATGATTAGAAACCTGTTTGAGGTCTAAAAGAGAAGCTGAATTCTATCTTACTTTTAAGGGCATAGTCATTGTCCCGTATTCAGTTCAGGCATCCCTGAAGTGGAGCACAAGACCTCAAGGTTGCTGGAGCCGCAGGGGAAAGGGACGCAAGGGGGGGCAACCATGACACCACACGCAGACTTCAGATGGAGACAATGGAGAACAAGTTCCATTGAACACTGAGTAATGGACTCAGCAAAGGGGCAAGACCCTGACAAACCTCTGTAGTTGGAAAGGTGCAGGAAATGGATGATCTCCACCAGGCCCAAAGAGCCCTTTGCCTTTTGCAGTGAGTCTAAAACAGCATTTTGAAAACCTCTGGAGATATGTACACTTTGTAAGTTATTCCAGTGCTGACTGTAGGGACTCCTACATAAAAGTGGGCTCTAAAATACTTTGTCTTTCCCTGAATTGCCGAATTATGAAGTATTATGGGTTAAGTGTACAGAATACCTGTAACAACCTTCCTTAAAAAGCTAAATCCTTATAGTGTATGCGCTTTGGATCATTATGAATAAATGTATATATATCTGGGGAGAAAAATAGTTGTGTTAATAAAATGGAGTCTGTGAGAAAAAAATCGTGGATAATTGTACAGATATATAAGAAAAATTGAGAACATAATTGTGTACACCACAAGCAAAATACCTGTGTGAGCACTGAAAGGAGAAGAGTATGGTCAGAAACAAGTAGCTTAACATTTGGTTATGGCCTAAGGGATAAACTTTGCTGAAGATGAAGACACCGAATAGTTAATAAAGCTTCTCAACTGTTTCCAATTCTCAGACAAGGAAGCAATAGTTCTTCTCTTATCAGCAACTGCTCTTTCATATTTGTGTATCGAGCTAGCTTTATTAAATTATTCAGCAAAGGTCAAATGTGATGTGTCTTCCTAGTTTTATTATGATTTTTCATGACATTGCCTGAGTAGCTGAATAATAAACAGTGCATGTCAGAACACTGCAGTGCCTTAGCTATCCACAGGCACATAGGATTATGAGCCTATTCAGTTATCAATTCTGAGGCAATATAAATGCATTAAGCAAAGATTTAAACTACATGTGAACCCTGCAAAGTGTTGCTTGTGGAACCACAACAGCAAAACAGAAGCAAACACCGGGTATATGTATATGTATTAGATTTTGAAGCCGTCTTGTACGATAAATACTTTGTATATATTTTGGAAGTGACTAACCATCTAGCTAAAGCATTTTGCTCCTTGTGACTGTTGAGAAGTTCCCAGCCTGTAATGAGCTGCTCGGGAGTGCTGAAAGAGAATAGGTAGGGAAAGATCTGACAGTCCAAATAGCCTATTACCTACAACAACCACAGAAGCAGACTGCAGTTTTGGTTATTTTTCAATAGACAAATGTCTACAGCAGATTGAGATCAACGCATGTGATTCTTTAAGATAAGTCTATGACTCTGTAGTTAATCTAGGCATTTTATCTAGATGTCATTGGAAAAGCCAAAAGAAATTAAAAATGGGATCTCCTAATCAGGATGAAGGCTTTCTGGCAATTATTAAGTGAGCAACAGAAAATTGAAATGAACAATACAGAGAGGTTTATGAATTCAAGCTGTTCCAGGTTTCTGGTGGTTTCATTGACATTGTCTTAAATTATTTTCTTGTTATTTTATACAGAGATACCTTTTAGTAATCCACTATAGACTTTAAGGCCAGAAGACTTTGTGGATAGAAAACATAGAGAACTTCCAATGTTACTAACATAGCAAAAACGTACGCTGTACACATTAGCAGTCACCAGAGTGGCCCTCTGACAGTAGGGAATACATTCCTTATACGTATGAGACTGAATCACAGAATTCAGACACAACAAACAATTTGCATGTTATAGTCTGCCATACTTCTGAGAAAATGCAAATGCAGCCTTATTACAGAACTTATTAGTAGCATTCGATAATTTGGGGTGGGTTTGGGACTTGCAAAATTAAGTAACTTCATATTTTTTCATCAAGTTTGAAAATCTAGGTTATGCACTTGTAGCCGGACTTTTAAAGTTTGAAATTGCACAGATCTTAACCTGAGTATGAGAAATCTAGCTCTATTATCACATATATGCAGAACAGATTTCTGATCCTCTTTAACAATCAATTATTTTCAGTGAAGATTTGTAGGCTCAGGTAGGCATTTTGTGCCTTTCAGAATGGCTGTATGTCCTGGTTCAACAGCATCTGTCACATGGATAGATAAGAGACTTTTCAGCAATATTGAGTACAAACTCCTGTGTGACTATTGGAGAAAAATGTTTATTTATAGGTTTTGTTTAAATGCTATGCACTAGATTATCCAGGGAGAATGGAAGGAAAATAGATGTCATTTTAAAAAGGATGATTTTCCTACCTTATTCAGTAAATATTATGTATGCTAAATAAAGGAATAATAATACATACCAATGTATATATATGCCAAAATGCATATATTGGTTCTTTTTATGGGAGTAGAGGTTAATAGCGGATAAAGGAAGATTTAAATGCAAAGAATAAACTAAAAATCATGGTTGTGCCACAAGGAATAAATATTTTTTCAAAGCCTGTCTCTCAAGAGTTTCCAATCTCTTATGAGATGACAGACAGTTAAGTAGCTGTTGTTATTTATTTCCACCTTGTAAAACATGCAAACCCCACCATCCAAAAAAAAAAGGAGAAAAAAAAAAAAGAAAGAAAGAATGAAGAGGAAGGACCCAGAGATCCATCCCTTCTGTAGTTATCAGTGATTAGGTTTTGGGCTCCGTTGCCATGAGCACATTCCTCCAATCTAATCCATGGCATTTCTGTCAAACACAATATCCATGGCAGCATAAGGGGCATATCCGTGCCCTTTTGACTTCCCAAGCGTTTATATTCAAGAAACATACATGACTCCCAAAAACCTCTTCAGCCTTGACAGTGGTAACAAGAAGGGATCAATGATACCCCAAGTAATCCTTATAGCTCTGTCAAAGATTCCTATGGCACATCATAAATCAGAGAACTGCTTAGTCCCTCTGCCCTGGGCTCCTCACCTCCTCTAGCAAGAGCTCATCCCAGTTCCCCACTTGCATGTCTTGCCTGTGAGAAGACTGGATAATTTTCTCCTCATCTGTCCTGTTTCCAGGCCCTCCTGCTCGGCATTAGCCTCACACACAAGGAAGTGCTTGGGAGACACTTAAAAAAGAGGATGGACAACCAAAATACGCACAGTCTAACTTTACATCAGAAAAGCACCTCAGTAGCACTGCAGGGACAGGGGAAAGAAATCACAGATCTGTCCCACCCCCCACAGCTGCTGGAATAGAAAAGGACAGACAGTGAAGGTGGCATTTTTCAATCACTCTGCAGCAGGCTTTTCCTGGGAAGGAGCACTCATACAGATATTAGCCAGTACCAAACTGCAAGCAAGGAGGCTTTTATCCTATATTTTTCACCAAGTGGGGAAAAAGAGGCTTATTTGGCCTTTGAAACAAGCCTAGGACACAAGACAAATGCTAAGGGCCAAGTCCTCGCAGAGGGGAAGCAACATTTAAAAGAAAAAAAAAGAATCAGAAAAATCAGCAGTTTAGAGCAGGGAATAGATATTAATAAGAGACTTTTAAATTTTAATTGTCACAGAAATTAAAAGCATATCAGAGAAAAAATAAATCCCCTTTCCCCTTTTTTCAGCATTTTTTTAACATCTTACTTTCAAAAAGTATGTTCCCTATTTTTCCAACAGAAGAGGCCTAGCGTTAAAATAAAACAAATATAAAAAAAAACAAAACTCACCCAGAAATAGAAGCGGAAAGCAGTTCAAGATGGTTACATTCCCCACAAACTAAGAAAACTAAATGTTCACCAAGCCCAGTGTGAGCCAAGATTTCCTCACACACTGATGTGCTACTAAAACATACTCCATTCATTTTGAAGGGCCTTCCTTATGTTTCAATCAGCTTGTGTGTAAGCCTATTAAAAATTCTTGAAGAAAAAAAGAAACAGGACAGATACCACCCGTAACCAATTACAAAGTTGGTGTCTTGTATGAAAGCATCCCACTTGCCCTACTTCTGGTGGATTTAAGCCCATTTTATTTTCTTTTAAAAGCACAGCAAAGGTACAATACTTTCCTCTTAGTGGAAAGATGCACTACTGGTACCAACAGCACTAGGAAAATGCATAGTTCATTAGCAAACGCAGAACTCTGGGTGGCACATTAGCAGTACCTGTGCACAGGGGCTGGCTGGGGCCTCTGAAGCCCTAGGATGTGTGAAGAAAATCCTCACATTATGAATACAGTTTGCATTGAAGATAACATGGTTTATTTCTTCATGATATTCAGATTAAAATGTATCAATGTATTTAGCACAATACTACATTTTAGGACAAAATCATCATCAGTGCTTTGCAAGTCTTCATAATGTTTATTCATTATAAATAGTAAATATTTACTGAACTTTTTACATGAAACATTTCTTTTTTTGTTGAGTTTTTTTGTTTGTTGGGGTTTTACTGGGTTTTATTTCTTTTTATTTCTTTTTTTTTTTTTTTACAACACGTGTGGTGTTGTACAGGCTGCAGCATAAAGGTAATATTTCATTTTTCCGTCACCCTTAAGAGCAATGCGTGAACTAACTTCTGTACTGAACCTAGTCTAACTCACTACTTCATAGTCCTTAATGCTAAAAGGAATGTATTTGTGTTCTGCCTCCCTCTTTTGTTCCAAGAATAGAGAGAAATAAATAACACTGCTTTCCATCTTCCTCTCAACATCACAAAACACAAATTTATTGACATTCTAAAATGTCACAACGCAAACTTCTTGTAAACCTTGGTTCCTATGATTATATTTTCTATATTGGATATTACTGTATAATTTAAACAAATGTGTCAAGTACAGGTCCATCTCTGTGTCCTGTACGTCACTAAAAAATCATGTAAATGTAATCATTTCTTTGTATTGTTTCCTGAAAATGACCTTTAAATCATGATTAGCAAGCTAGATTTTAGTTGTCCAGCAGACTGCAACATTTCTGTATTTTATCATCAGGAATTATGCACTGCAAAAATAAAAGTACCTGCAAAAATATAGTTCTGACTCTATCTATATAACTTTGGATGATCCCAAAGTTTGTGTGAGGTACACAGTATTGCACATTGCTAGGCAGTTGTGAAAATTCAGTCGCATTGTTGTTGATTTTTCTTTCTCCTGTGTCTGCTTGAAAAGGTACAATGAACAAGGAAAACTCCACATAAAAAAAAAAGGTAAAATCTGGTTTTCATGTTACATAATATTTCCTCTCTTGGTAAAGCAAAATTTGTAAGTGACATTTATTGACAACATTATTACATAAGCATGGTAAGGTAACCAGTAAGTTGCTCTGGAAGTCATTCGCACTTATCCTAGTTTCCTATGAACTGTGACATTTCCTCTTGATGGCAATTTCCAGTGTGTGAAAAGAAAGAGGTTTTCCTGCCCTTGCTTCAGAAACTGAGCAGTTTTGAAGTTAGACTGAAGTCAGTACTGGATGTCAGATGAGTCAGAGTAAGCAGAACTCAACTGCTCTAAGTTTCAAAATGTTCCATTTGTGCCAATCAATGCACATTAATTTCAACAACAAAAAATGGAATGTTTTGCAGGGCAGTGACATTAAATACTGCTCTGTTTTGTATACCCACTCATAATGAACCATGTCGCATTTATTTATTCATTATTGCTTTTGGCCTTTGTCTTCTGTATAGCTTTGTCCAGCCTTCAAAAGTCTACTAAAAGCTATGACTGGAGAGAAAATAACAATCCTGCTTCTCTCGATGGGACTGACCCAGTTTAGACTGCAGTGTGTTGAGATGACTCGTATCCAAGCCTTAGAGTGAGACCGGAAAACAGGACCAGCTTTAACTTGAAGTGGACAGTTCATTTATGCAATATCTGGCTTTAGATAATGAAAGGCACCTGCAAAAAAAGCAAAAGAAACTTTTTAAGTCATACTGTGACAACCTCACAGCATGGGGCCATGCCAACTACAGGTTGACATTGTCATACTTAATACTGATATATCAAAGGAAAGGGACTAATATTTTTATTCCTACGACAAGCTTGACAAAACTCTATGTATCTGGGATTATATACTGTAATGATTCTTGAGCTGACCTCATTAAGAACATATGTTTCTAATAGCGGAATGCCAGTGGTTATTTCATTTTGGACAACCCTTATGTTTTACCTAATGGCAATCAGGTTTCATGTCTCAACAATTAATAACATCAAGATGTTGTTGACATCACTTAAGAAAATAATTATGCAGCAGAAATTTTGCTTGAACAGTCAGCTATCTCACCAATGCACTCGGCTCACTTTGGAGTGAAGTAGTAGTAAGCCATTAGGATCTCTGCTCATAGTTTTGTTACAGGCAGAAAGTACAGACCGTTGATAAATGGGTACAGTACTGCACAATGTGGAAGTCCTAATACTCACTTTGTCCATACTGTCCATACTGGTAGCTTGTGACGGGGTCCATGCTGTAACCCGTGGAGCTGTAGGTCGGTGGGCAGTAGGACTGGGATGTAGGCAGGCTGTCTAAACTCTTCATATGATCCAGCCGCTGGCTGCAGCTGGCTGAGACAGTGGTGGTGGGCTCCAAGCCCCCAGTTAAAGGGGACAGGGCATAATCAGTTTGGGGCTGGTGAGGCACGCCACCGTGGTTAGTCAAGAGTCCCATTACCTAAAAGGCAGAAAAATAGAAAGAGTTAAAATATGTGAAGAATTGTATTGCTTACAGAACTACAAGAGTTCTCCAGTCATCATTTGATTTCCTGAAATAGGTAGACCTGGTATTCAAACTATGCTTTGAGTATCTAATCCAAAGAAGAAGTGGAATTTGGTCACACCACCCACCAAAAAGAAATCTGATGTCTAACAACCAATAAAAAGTGAAACTAAGGGCAAATAAGGAAAAATCATTTTTAAAACTTTTATGATTTTAGAGTGCCTGATCCCATGACCAAGCTAGGATCTCTACAGATGTTTATTCCTTGAGGATTCGATTATAAGACAATAAAAAGCTGCTTGGACATGAAATCAGCTGCAGTTACGAAATCTGTTAAGACTAGTTGAAAAAAGACGACTTGAAAATATGTACTTGTCCCCATAAAAGACCTGACTCTCTAGGTCATAATTTCCAGTAGAAGAGCAAAGAAAAATTCAAAAACACCTGTGCTTTCAAACAGAAGTGAAGGAAGCTACATTGATAAGTTCTTTTTGTATAAAAGTCACTTGCACTATAGGTTGGTCTGCATTTCCTTTCCCATCACACCTCTATAGCACATTTTGAAAGTAAGCAGGACTGAGAGAATTGCTTATTTCTGCTGGAAATAGTCTGAAGCTTATAACAGATGGATGACATACAGTTTCTGCCAAAACAGCATATTCTGATAATTTGCAGGTTGTTCTTCCTCCAGAAAGGCATAACAAATATCTGATGTAAGTTATTTGATCATCATTTTTCTATACTGTACTCCTTACCATAAACTAAAAAGAAATTATTAAAAATGGATTTTATTATGTAAAGAATGAATTAATGCTCATAAGAACATATCTAATTCCTAAAGAACGTGTCCAATTCCTAAAGATCTGATGTGCCATCTTGAAATATATTTTTCATCACAAAAGAAAAGGGATTATTATTTGGGGGGAGCTTGTGGTCCCAGCTCTGAATTTTGGTTTTTAATAAATAAATGAAATAAGACCAGGGATCATGATTTAAATAGAAAGGAAAACCTATCAAGGTTTTACATTTCTGACAAGGAAAAGAGCAAGAGGCACAAGCAGGATATTTCAAAAAGAGACACCCAGATACCCACATCAAGAACACGAAACTCCATCAGATACATCCAAGACATCTCACAATAAAAAGAAAAGCTGAGAAAGAAGTTCAATTACTACTCACAGCACTAGAATGTTCGCTTCCATTTCACTAAGCAGAAAAACATGAGTTTAATCGATGGCATTTGCTGACTGTTTCTCAAACCGAAATATTTATGCAACAAAAAAAAAATTCAAAATACATCCAAAGACTTCATTTAGATACTGAAATCTTGTAGCATTTAAGTTAAGAATTTGGATTCAGGCTATATTTTCTATTTAATTCAAATAAACCTTTCAATGCACAAAACCTGTGCATTGAAAGAATCTGAGGTTAATAAAAACAAACAAAAAAAGATAAATTTAAAAAAATCTCTGGAATCACCAGATTGAAAAATCATGTTATTTGCACATCAACCTGCACAGCATTTTGTTCCCAAACCCTTAAAAGCTGAAATAACTGAGTTCTCAAGTTCTTCTTCTAAAAATTGGTTCCTGAAAACTATTAAAATTTCTAAATATTATTTTAATACATTTTTCTATTTTAGGAATTGCAAATGTTTTTCTTGTGCTGTTGGAAAATCCTACAGTCCTGAAAATCTAGCATGCTTAATGATCTTAACATTGCATCAGCAGGATACAATATCAGAAACTATGTTCATTTAGGTTATATTAATCCTTATCCTTTAAAATTAAGACTAAGAGAGTTAAAGGAAGAGAAAGATCCTCAAAAAGCATAGCTTAAACATTTACATTGAAAATTACTACTTTGGAGAGTATCTATGTTGGCACAAGTACCATGGTTTTCACAACAGCTTAAAACACGCATGGTTTATCAGAAATCTGAAGTGCGTGCAGAGCCCCTTCCGTTCCCACAGAGCACCTACATGACACCCATATTTACAGGGCTTTACTACACTCTGTCCCAAGTTCAAGATCAGGGAGCACAGGCCAGGCTCCATCACCATCGCAGACCCGCTGGAGTCCCAGTACAATCACTCTCACATCACACACCATCTCCACCAGGACTTCTAGGACCAGTTGCAGAGTTGAGCAAATACACCAACTATGTATTTTAACTAGATTTTTTTCTCTTTAATATTTTCAATAGAGAACATTATTTGGGCTTTTCCAGCAAAAACAGTGAGCTCAAAAATTTTGGATTTGGAAATAATTTTAGTTAGAGATTAGCCTCAAAAATTAAACCTGGATCCAGACCAGGTTTCAAAAGCCACTCAAACTTCAGTAGCATCTATATTTGGATAGAGATTTATCTTCTCTGACAAACTAAAATGAGCATTTGACGAGATTTATTTTAAAAATTTTAAGTTACTTGGATATACATTACTTTAGGCATATTTTTATTAAGTACACACGCACCTAATAGACACTTGGGAGCAGAAGTGACACAGTTCTCCGTCTCTGCAGTGGAGAAAACTGAAGTCTGAACAGTAACCATCTTTTCAGAATATCTTCTCCACAGGCTTTCAGAATCATCCTGCAGTTGATTAGTATCTAAATAATTAGATTTTTGGTCATGTCTGTCTTGAAAGCTACAGGGGAAGTAGCCTCAGGGCCAGAGTCTTTCCTATGGTATGTGCCATGACCTTATCACCCATACAAGGAGTTACAGGAAGGGCATGGCTGACTTTCACCTAATCAATTAGAAAGCCATTAATGGGCCACGTCTGTAAGATGCCCAGCACCCTCAGCTGAGTAGTGTAAAAGAGACACACGAAAATCTGGATTTTGCAACGCAGATATTTTCCTGGTAGCTCTAAATAGGTAAACAGATCTGATTGTTTTACAATAATTAAGGAAGAAAACTCATTTATTCAATCCTTACACCATTTATATTACAGGAAAATATGTACTTCCCTCTGAATTACTTTGGGAAAGCCAATGTAGTAATTGTCAATCTTGCCTCCCTGGATCCAAAAGAAGCTGAAAGAAAGGCCAAGGACTAATCTAATACCTAGAAACAAATGCTGCTATAATTATTCAGTTTATTTTAGAAAAGTATTCCTATAAATGCAAAAAATCAGGCTGTAAGGTTTGCGGCCACATATATTTTGCCTTCATTATTTACAAAACACACGCAGAAACGTTGATGATGAGCTTTTGAGCTCATATAATAAACGACGATATATATAATTGATAAAATCAATCTATTCTATTAGAAAACAAGAATGCAAATGGGAGCAAGTGAAGAGAACACAGTAAACTGCAACAACCAAACTCTACACTGAAGTTTTCAGAGAGCACATCCAAAGCAATCCAAAATACTCATCAGGACAAATCCCTTGCTAATGGGGTCAGCACATCACTAGCTGACGATATGATCCAGAAAGAGAAACTGAATGATGAAAGCCTCAAAGACCGTGTAAGCAACATCTGGTCCATTATCAGCTATTAGAAAATACTTCTATTATCAACAAAATAAAGGCCATTAAACTGAGAAAAAGCTTATTCCATTTAAATGAAACTTTATGCCTGATACTGTGGTTGGTATTTTAGGATGTAGAACCTACCATAGGCACAATAAAATGCTCATATGTTTTAATTCATTTACGCATGCCTGCATTTAATATGCTTTGTGACCATGTCTGCAATTAATATGATTTATGAGAAAAGAACATGTGCAATATTTTTTGAGTACAGTGATACATTTTTTTCTCCCCTCTGTGAATGAAAGATTTAATGAAACAGCTCAAGGAAAATTGTTGGCAGTTAACGTATTAAGTTGAACTGACAGAATCATGAGTAAACTTTAGTGGAGTTAATGATATCCTCTTATCTGACCCTGACACATTTGCAGCATGTAATTTACAGAAGCTCTGTCCAGGGAATCTTGACAAATGCTCCTAACTATGTCAGGGCAATGTTCCATTCTAACGTAAAACAGATGTGGGTCAGATACCCTCATTCATCACTAACACTGAAAATATCAAACTCCTTCCGAGATGAATGGCATTACCTGCTGTTAACTC